GATCCAAAGCTACTACTACAGTAATAAGGAAATTATGATTGAATGCAAATGTCTACTTTCCTAAGGTAATCATTTAAAGCCCTGCTAGAATAGCTGTTATTAAAAAGTCAAAAAACAACAGATGCTGGCAAGACTGTGGAGAAAAGAAAACATACTGTTGGTGGGAATGTAAGTTATTTCAGCCACTGTGGAAAGCAGTTTGGAGATTTCTCAAAGAACTTAAACCAGAATTACCATTCAACTCAGCAATCCCATTACTGGGTATATACCCAAAGGAAAATAAATCATTCTACAAAAAAGACACATGCACTTACATGTTCATGGCAGCAGTATTCATGACAGCAAAGACATGGAATCAACTAGATACCCATCAATGGTGGATTGGATAAAGAAAATGTGGTACATATATACCATGGAATAGTATGCAGTCATAAAAACGAAACCATGTCCTTTGCAGCAACATGGATGCAGCTGGGGGCCATTATTCTAAGTGAATTAACACAGAAACAGAAAACCAAATACTGCATGTTCTCACTTATCAATGGGAGCTAAACATTGGGTACTTATGGACGTAAAGATGGGAACAATAGACACTGGGAACTACCAGAAGGGGGAAGGAGAGGGGAGTGCAAGAGTTGAAAAACTATCTGTTGGGTACTTTAGTCAGTACTTGGGTGATGGGATCCATACCCCAAACCTTAGCATCACACAATATACCCATGTAACAAATCTGCACATGGGCCAGGCACAGTAACTCATGCCTGTAATCCTAGCACTCTGGGAGGCCAAGGTGGGCAGACTGCTTGAGTCTAGGAGCTCGAGACCAGCCGGGGCAACATAGTGAAACCCTGTCTGTACAAACAATACAAAAATTAGCTGGATGTGGTGGCATGCACCTGCAGTTCCAGCTACTTGGGAAGCTGAGGTGGGAGGATCGCTTCAGCCCAGGAAGTGGAGTTGCCATGAGCCATGATAATGCCACTGCACTCCAGCCTGGGTGACAGGGTGAGATCCAATCTCAAAAAAAAAAAAAAAACTGCACATGTACTCCCTGCATCCAAAATGAAAGTTGAAATTATTTAAAAAAAAAAAAAAAAAAAAAAAGCTCTGCTACAGAAAATGGTAGCCACTAGCCATATGTAGCTACTTAAATTCATTAAAATTAATTGCATTTGAAATATGTTCAAAGTCACATGTGGCTAGTGGCTACCATATTGGATAGGGTAGACTAGTTCTATCATTGCAGTGAGTTCTATAGGACAGCTCTGATCCCAGAAAACTCCAGTGAGTTCTATAGGACAGCTCTGATTCCAGAAAAATCCAGTGAGTTCTATAGGACAGCTCTGATTCCAGAAAACTCCAGTGAGTTCTATAGGACAGCTCTGATTCCAGAAAAATCCAGTGTAGAAATCTTCTACATCTAGGAAGAAACCTGCTTGAATTAGAGGAATATGCAGGTAAGAAAGCCTGATAAGGGGAATGCCGCCTTCTCCCAGGAATGTATTCCCTCAAGAAATGCAGAGAAATCATCCACACTTAGAGAAGAAATTAAGCAATGTAGATTTAAATTTAAGAGACAATAAATCTTACTGCCTAACATCTAGGGACATCTTTGGGGAAAAAAGCAGACACTAACTGTGCTTTTGTTTCACTACAGACAGATGCTAAGCAATGTAATCATGTAATAGCCAGGGACAGAATATGTGAATGAATGGATCATTGCTCTGAATCACTTTATCCAAAAAATCCTCTATGCCAATATGAGGAGCAAGTAAAAAGTTTTTGTTTTGATGATGTTCTATCAGTTAGATACAATTATCTTTAAAACAATGCCGTGGATTGCTTTAAACCAAATTCTGACATTATATAATATTAAGCCCAAGTTTTGTTGTTCTTCTCGGAACCCTTCAGGAACAGTGGAGATTCGTGGATATGTTTCCAAGGGTATCTAAGATCAACATCTTCTGGGGAATAAGGGTATCTAAGATCAACATCTTCTGGGGAATTTTCCTTAATAACTGCTTGCAGTCAGCTTTTAAAAACTGCAAGGTTTTACAGCAGCTCTCATTTCCTTTTCAATCCACATGAAATTTGAAAGCCCCAAGGGGAATCTAAATCCTTATGATGAAAGAACCTTCTAAGTATTTGATGACAATAATGAGAACCAGGAGAATTAAAAGTGAATAAGTACTTAAACAAAGTAAACAAATGGTAATTTGCTTAAGAAATTTTCTGCCTTCTCACATGCTAGGAAGATTTAAGAGGCTTCAATACCAACAGCGATCCACACTTTAATTCTAAATGATGGGCATTTCCATCAGAAAGACTCCTGGAAATGCGTACTTACTATTCTAATTCAAAACTCTAGGCATGAATTGATCACCTTAGGTAGAATATGAAAACAAGAGAAACAATCAAATCCCACAGCAGTGGTGGCAGAAGGAGGTAACCACCTGGGTTTGCACTTGCCGCAAAGGACTAGCTGGATGGCCCTGGGCATGTCATTTAACCTCTTTGCACTCCGGTCTCCTCTGTAAAGTGGGAATAGCATCATCTGCTCTGTTAGTTACATAAGGTATGCAAAGTCCCTAGCAAGAGGTCTAGTAACAAGCATCCAGTAAGTGCACACTAAATGTCCATTGCTTTCCTACTTTCAAGTCTAGGTAAAATGCTGCTCTGTTCAAAGGAGCCTTCTTAGACTTCAATTCTCCCCTCTGCTCAGGACTCTGGAAGTACTTGAACAGATTAGAGACAAAAAGGAAAAGAGACAGAGAAAAGGCATTTGAAATGGAGAATAGTGACACGAGCTAAGATGGGCAAAGAAGAGGGAGGTTAGAAGATGCAGAGGTAATCCAGTTTATCTGGAGCCTCAAGCATATAGCCTGGAAATGCAGGTTCTGGAATATCACGGTACCGTTTTTACAGTATCCTGCACACACTTAGTACTCAATATATGAGAGTGGTTTATCCAACAAATTAGTGTCACACACTGCAGAGTTCTGTTCTTGTTAGGAGGCAATGGAGAAGGGATGGCTTGGAAGCAGGAAGGAGATGGAGCTGGAGTTGGCATGCACTGGGACTAGTGTTCTAGGTACCGCAGTGCAATTCCAAACACCAGCTTTCTTTCCAGAGGCAGAATCTGCAGGACTTGACAACTCACTGCTAGTTGGGATCTGAAAGGGAAGAAGAGCTAATATGTGAAATTTCTAGCCTGACAGTGTAGGAGAATTGTTCTCCACCAAATGTGCCCCCCAGGGACTTACTTTTTTTTTTTTTTTTTTTTGAGATAGGGTCTTGCTCTGTCACCCAGGCTGTAGTGCAGTGGCATGATCATGGCTCACTGCAGCCTCAACTTCCCAAAGCAAGAAGGTCACTCTGATGTTTCCCCAGCCTTTGCGTGTGAAAGCTGGCTATAAAGAAATTATCTGACCTACCTTTCCTGAAAGTAGGTCATAAGACCCTCATTCCAGATGAGTCCTGCTCTAGACCTGGGGGAATGGGATGCTACACAGAAAGGCCAAGAAGAATCTGAGTGGACAGGCCTTTCTGAGTTTCCCCGTCAGTCTATTACCATTAGAGTATGCCCTTTTGCCCAATCATATTGCTACATGGTTGTCCACTGTTCATCGAACCTAAGCATAAGTTTTCCCCAAGTCTTTGGGTCTTCATTCCTGAAGACTAACGTGCCACATAAAACTTCGATTAAATAAATTTGTTATGCTTTTCTCTTGTCAACCTGTCTTGTTACAGGGCTGTTGGTCATGACTCTTATGATGGGTAAGAAGATCACAGATAACACCTTTCTACCCCTAACCTGTGTTCCAATAAAACTTTATTTATGGACACAAATTTGAATGGCATACAATTTTCACGTGTCACAGACAGTATTTTTTTAAATTTTTTTAACCATTAAAAAATGTAAAAATCATTCTCAGCTCATAAGGTAGCTGTAAACAGCAGGCTAGACGTGGTGCACAGGCAGTCGTTTGCCAACCCCTGGGCTAGAACATCAAGACAAAGAGCTGAGACCGGCTGTGACCATGAACTTACCACGTCCTTTCAAAGCTGACTGAGAATAACACTGCCTTCTGTCTCATCAATAGTAAATGTGTAGTTTGTGCCTATGTGCTCACGGGTGTTCCAGCCCGGTTACTAACAACAACTTCAGTGTTCTTCCTCAATTCTGATGCCTTTATTTCTGTTCTGTTTGCTCTTAAAAAGAACTCTGGGGACAGTGATTAGTGTTCAGAAGTTAAATGACTGACCCGTGCTTGACCACCCAGCACAGTGGAGAAAGGCAGGACAGAAGCCAGGTCCCTCATGCAACAGACATCAACATCAGTCACCAACAATGGGGTGGCACTTGGCTATTCTTTCTCAAAAGAGGAGAGCAGGCAGGGTGCCACTCAACAGTGCCACTCTGCCTTTCCCAGAGCACCTAACCTAGAGGCTGGCACAAAGAAGTAGCCTCAGAAAGAGAGGAGGTGGTAAGGAAGCACACTACTTGTCGAACTGGTAGACTTGGAATAATATATCATTTTACGGTGGAGTCAGACTAACAGGCCCCAAAATGGTCAGGATTATAAGCAGTCTGTCTTTCTGAGACGAAGAGCTATCTCGGCTCACTGCAACCTCCACATCCTGGGTTCAAGCGACTCTCCTGCCTCAGCCTCCTGAGTAGCTGGGACTACAGGTGGACGCCACCACGCCTGGCTAATTTTTGTATTTTTAGTAGAGATGGAGTTTCACCATGTTGGCCAGCATGGTCTCAAACTCCTGACCTCAGGTGATTCACCAACCTCAGCCTCCCAAAGTGCTGGGATTACAGACGTGAGCCACCATGCCCAGCCAGCAGTCTGTTTTTTCATGTACTTTGTAGTTACATATTTGTTTCAAAGGAGAAAAGAAAAGAAAGAATGCAAAAAAACTGCGTCTCACATTAGTCTGTGATCCACAAAAAGGCCAGTTATCAGGAAGCTTTTCAAAAATGAAGAGCCCACTTACTTGCCAGTTCAATGATTTCCATCCTGTCTCCATCAACATCCTGACCTACAAAACTTAAGTCATTCTGCTCAAATTGGTTGATCAGCTTAGGGTTTACCTGCAAAACAAGAAATTAAGTGTTTATGGGCCACAGTACAATACCAGCTGCCATACCAGGTCCTTCAGCAATTGGGTGGGTTTTCCATTTCAGTGATCCTCTAGTAGTTAATGTCTATATTCAATGTTCAAAGCCAATTTTAAACTCATGATGAACCTGAGATATAAAATGTAACCGCAACACCTAAATCTGGGAAGCCCACCTTCTATTACCCAAAGGTGACATTCAAAAAGTAGGCCTGTGACCCAGATACTCTGACTTGGAACCTTGAGACTGGTTATTTATAGCCATTTCCATGTTTGCTTCTTCCCTAGAGTTATGTGTACTTACCTCTCTCCGAATCATAAATCTGCTTGAGGATTAAAACTATCTTATTTCCCTTGTGACTAACCCCAATGCTTTCTTTACACACAGTTACATAAAAGTTCTAAAGAGAAGCTTGGAGCAAGTTTTCTACTAAAATATCATAATAGACGGCAACTTGATGACCTGGCTTGTGGTTCTTTCTGGCCCCCAACTCACCTTAGCCCTTTTCCAAACTTAAGGACTCCTTTTCAGCCTCTCCTTCAGTGAAAGGGCTTCCCTGTCTAAAATTATGGTGGGGTCTCACCTATTCTTTGCAATCTTAACCTCAGAGCTTTTATTCTACATTTTAAAATTGTACCAGTTCTCGTAATTTGTAATTATTTTTCCTTCCTTAACAGTTTTAAGACATAATTCACATACCATACAATTCACCCATTTAAAATACACAAATGATTTTTCATATATTCAGAGGTATGCAACCATTACCACAATCAATTGAAAAACAAACCCTGTACCCTTTAACCTCATCCCCCAACCCCCTCATCACCCTGACCTGATCCTCTGGCAATCACTAATCTACATCCCACATCTATAGATTTGCCTATTCTGGTCATTTTATATTAATAGAATCACGCAATATGTGGGCTTTTTTTTTTTTTTTTCTCTAGGGTACATGTGCACAATGTGCAGGTTTGTTACATACGTATACATGTGCCATGTCGGTGCACTGCACCCATTAACTCGTTATTTACATTAGGTATGTCTCCTAATGCTATCCCTCCCCCCTCCCTGTACCCCACAACAGGCCCCAGTGTGTGATGTTCCCCTTCCTGTGTCCAAGTGTTCTCATTGTTCAATTCCCACCTATGAGTGAGAACATGTGGTGTTTGGTTTTCTGTTCTTGTGAGAGTTTGCTGAGAATGATGGTTTGCAGCTGCATCCATATCCCTACAAAGGACATGAACTCATCCTTTTCTATGGCTGCATAGTATTCCCTGGTGTATATGTGACACATTTTCTTAATCTAGTCTGTCATTGATGGACATTTGGGTTGGCTCCAAGTCTTTGCTATTGTGAATAGTGCCGCAATAAACATACGTGTGCATGTGTCTTTATAGCAGCATGATTTATAATCCTTTGGGTATATACCCAG